AACATCAACTTTCCTGCTCCTCTGATGCTGCTTGGCCTGCTGTGTTCCTCCAGCTCCACACTGTGCCATAGAAAGCTTCCTGGTTCACTAACTTGTTGTCCTTACCTGGTTTGTCCTATACATGACTCCAGACCCACAGCGATGGGGTTGACTCTTAACTGCAATTAGGGACAGGCAACGAATACTAGCCTAGCCAGTGATACCCACGGACAAACGTATTTACAAAAAAAACCGAATGTGCCTCAGCGCGCTGTCAGCGTTGGTTCGTACCTTCCTGCAAGGTTTAGATGATACCTCAAAGGAGGCCTTGAAGGCTCGTCTCTGCTGGGTGGTGAGTATTGTCCGTGGGCGTTTAGACCTCTTGTGGTCCTTACCCTTGGAGCCTTCCTTGCCCTGGGTCTGCCCGAGTTGTTCAGCTTCTTCACTCTTCACTGTAAGGAAACACATAGAGACAAAGAGTGGACAATGAGACCACACAATATTCTCTGACTTTAACCCATGGAATGGAAGTCTATTCATGAAATTTTCAACATTTTCTCAGCACTTTTAGTAACGATTTGCATCGTTGAAACAGGAAAACATTGAAAGGCGCTTCACAGGGGTGTCATAGAGAGAAAGATCATTCGTGACTGTTATTTAGGCACTCCCCATCACCGACAAATGGTGCATAGCAAGATCCCACAGCCAGCAAGACGATTCATTCCATAGAAACATGGAGAATCGGTGCAGGAGTAGGCCATTCGGCGCTTTAATCCTGCACCACCACGCAATATGATCATGGCTGATCATGCAATCTCAGTATCCCACTCTCACTTTCTCCCCATATTCCCCTTGATCCCTTTGGCTGCAAGGGCCACGTCCAGCTCCCTTTTGAATATATCTAATGAACCGGCCCCAACAGCTTCCTGTGGGAGAGAATTCCACAGGTTCACAACTCTCTGAGTGAAGAAATTCTTTCTCAGCTCAGTCCTGAATGGCTTATCCCTTGTTCTTAGAGTGTGACCCCTAGTTCTAGACTCCTCCAATGTTGGGGGAAACATTCTTCCTGTTCAGTCCCATCAGGATTTTATATGTTTCTATGAGAACCCCCTCATTCTTCTAAATTCCAGTGAATACAAGACCAGTCGATCCAGTCTTTCTTCATACGTCAGTCCTGCCATCCTGGGAATCATTCTGTGAACCTTCACTGGACTCCCTCAATAGCAAGAATGTCCTTCCTCAGACGAGGAGACCAAAACTCCACACTCAAGGTGTGGCCTCACTAAGGTCTTGTACATTGCTTGAGGGGCTCTGCATCATTCAATATCAAGCGTGGGGGCCAGGGGAGGAGGTAGGTTCCAAGGCCACCTCAAGGAGACTCAAACCCGTGTTGTGTTGGCTTTATTTGTGATTCTGATTTTGATTTTATTGTCACATGTACCGAAATACAGTGAAAAGTTTTGAGAGTGGTACAGGCAGATCACAGCAAACAAAGGATGTACAGATCAAAAAGACTTAGAGACATACAGGTTACATTATTTGAGGCTAGAGTCCATTCAACAGTCTGATAACAGCCGGAAAGAAGCTGTTCCTGAACCTGCTTGTGCGTGTGTTCAGGTTTCTGTATCTTCTGCCTAATGGAAGAGGTTGTAGGAGGTCATTACCAGGGTGCGATGGGTTTTGATGATGTTGGCTGCCTCTCCGCAGCAGTGATGAGCTGTGTAAATAGAGTCTGTGGTTGGAAGGTTTGCTTCCGTGATGGTCTGGGCTGTGCACACTACCTTCTGTAGGTTCTTACATTCCTGAGCAGAGCAGTTGTCATGCCAGGCCATTATGCACCCAGTCTGCACCACATGGTATCCATCTGATGGAGTGAACCTACGGGATCCCCTAACTTCGGGCAATGTGTCATGAATGTTAGTCCAGCCAGCCATGCCTGCATTTCTTGAGCCAATACACAAAGTGAGACACGCTGCAGAGAAGTTCTCCATTTCCCGGCATGGCAGCCAGGTCAAAGGGAATCAAGCTGTTGGATGAGTATGTCCACAGCTAGAAACAGTCAATCACAGGGAGGTAGGTGTTGAAGACATCATGATGGAGTTCATAGCTCAGGCTGTTGGACTGGAGAGAAGGACCACTGTTCCTCTTGGCTCACAAGCATTGAGCCGATCAATTTGGCCTTTCCAAGATCACGGAAGACCGGCCTATGGGTTTGAAGAATAAAAATGATGTTAATATGAAATACAAGACTCCTGGAAATATTTTAAGGAGTGACCTGACACCTGAGAGCGAATCAGTCTCCCAGTGGGTCTGGGATAAAAAAACTGCAGATGCTGGAATCCCCGGGTCGACAAACGGGGGGCTGGAAGAACACAACAAGCCAGGCATCATCTGTTGGGGAGTCGGAGCCTGAGTTGCATTCTAATGGAAACAGCTAACATTGAGGCAGGTCTTTTTATTTTAAAGTTTTAACCACTCTATTTCCCACTTAATGGTGAGACTTACCATTTATATATCAACAGTAACATTTTCCAAAGGGTCTTGTGCATTTTGTCACATTATGGGAAGAAATATTGAAGACAATTTAAAATAATGACTCCAATTCTAAAGGGGGTGCAGGAGCAGAGGGACCTGGGTTTATATGTGCACAGATCATTGAAGGTGGCAGTAAAGGGGGAGAGGCCAGTTCATAAAGCACACAGTGTTCTCAGCTTTATTAACAGGGTTATAGAGTACAAGAGCAAGGAGGTGACGTTGAACTTGTATAAGACACTTGTGGTGCCCAAAACTGTACACAATACTTCAGCTAAAATCTAAAGTTATAGGAAAGATGTGAATGCATTGGAGAGAGTGCAGAAGTGATTTACAAGTATGGTTCCAAGGATAAGGAAATTCAACGATGAGGATAGATTGCAGAAGTTGGGAGTGTTTTCCTTGGATAGAAGGCAGCTAAGAGGAGATTCGATGGAGGTCTTCAAAACCATGAGCAGGCTGGCCAGAGTAAATAGGGAGAAGCTGATTCTGTTGATCAAAGGAATGGGAAAAGGCACGAAATTGGCACAGGAGAATAGAGCCAGTAGAGTCACAGTTGGCTGAATGGCCTTCTTCTGAACTGTAATAAGTCAGTGAGTCTGTGATCTAATGGTTCCAGGAAGCCCAATTCTAAAACATTAGCTCGACACTATTTCTACGTATGACTGTGTTAGTTGCTTGAAGAATTCCGGATACATGTTTGTGTTTGTGTGCAGACCTCCTTGCCTGATGCTTTGTTGGCCTCACTTTGGATTTGAGAACAATTTTCCTCAGTTGAGGGGACCATCCCATTTGGGATTGAGGGAAAGCTGTACTGTCAGAGGAATCATCTTTCCAATAGGATGAGAAACACTGGAAAAGATCCCTCCGCAAATGAAGAACAAGACAATCCCCCTGGGTTCCTGGTCAAAATTTGTTCCTCAGCCAACATTATGGAAACTGATGACTTGAGCCTTCATTAAGGCCAGGGTCAGAAATCATGGGCCCCAGACTTTGGGCCTAGTCCCAGGCCTAGTCCCTGCAATAGGTTCACACTGCACCCCCACCACCACCACCAACCCTCCCAACACAATCTGAGCACCAGGAGCCCCATAGCGTCATTGGTTGTTGGGCCCTGATGTATAGCCCCTGTGCCAGGCCCTGCATAAACCACGTTGCTCTTTGTGAGATCTTGCTGTGTGGAGGTCGGCTGCTGGGTTTTCTGCTTGACTTTAGTGACTGCACTTCTAACCAAGTTCCTGTGCAATTCACTTCTACACATGGTGGTTAGCCACTGTAAGTTATTCACATGAGGCTGTGAATGTTCACAAACAGCAGAACATTAGTGTAATAAATTTAAGAAGGAAAAGTACAAAGCTCCATATAGAGGAGACATGTAGAAAGATCTTGAACAAACCTGTTTCCAATACCAAATATAACAGAGATTCGATCCCAGATAAATATCACTCCTATCTGAGTGGTTAGCGCTACTGCCTCACAGCTCCAGGGTCCCGGGTTTGATTCCAGCCTCGGGCGACGGTCTATGGGGGGTTTGCACATTCTCCCTGTGTCTGTGTGGGTTTCCTCCAGGTGCTCCGGTTTCCTCCCACAGTCCAAAGATGTGCAGGATAGGGTGGATTGGCCATGCTAAATCACCCATAATGTCCAGGAATGTGTGGGTTAGCCATGGGAAATGTGGGGTTACAGGGACAGGGTGGGGTGGGGGGAGGTGAGACTTTGTGGGATACTCTTCAGAGGGTTGGTGTGGACGAATAGCCTGCTCCCATGATGTAGGGATTCTGTGACCTTTTTTTTCAGATTTTTGCTTAACAGCCACTTTCCAGCCTCTCTCTCTCTTTGGCTGCCATAACTGTTTTATTGAGATTTCTTTCCAAACCCGCTGCCTGAACCTTTCACCAGTCTAATGACCCAGCCTTCTCTGTTCTAACAAGTTGAAGGCGTCTATCTGAACTTCCGTTTGTTTGGAAGCTTCACACACTAGTAATCACTTCCATGGAAGTGGCTGGTTTCCCTGAACTGAACTGGAAATATCTTGATTTTCCTGCTGGGAGAGAAGAAATGTTCATTTCTGAACTCAACTCTGAGTTCATGGAATCATAGATCATAGAATCATACAGTCCATTCAGCCCCTCGATTCTATATGGTCAAAACAACACCACTACCTACACTAGAGCTGCTTTCCCCCATAAGGCTCATAGTCTTGAGTTCTTCAGAACAGAAGGTTTGAAGTTTTAGTTTCTAAATTAAAGAGATACAAATTGCCTTAATGTGTTTACACAGCCTTTTAGAAAGCCAGCAGTGTAAACATCTTACCCATTAACATCACTAGGTTTCTCCTAGGCATTTGGCTGCAGTTATATTTCTTGGAATTGTGACACTATCTCCATCACTTTCTGACCTGATTCAAAAGAATCCTTCACAGAATTGGCCAAAATTCATCTGCCTCTAGTTTTGTTTTAAATTCAAATGTTAAAAATGCTGATCATATATTTTGCACATCTTTCTTCACACAGTGAATATTTCCCAAAACTTAAGAGAGATATCAGTAGTTGCTATTATTCCGAATGTGATTAATTGGTGCTTTGCTCAGGACTCCAGCCCTGTCCTGGATACCTGACTCCGTCGGGACTGGGCTGATCCCACTCAACATCTCCCTCTCCTTCTCGTAGTCGCTGCGGCACAGGAGCTGTCCCTCCTTCAGCACAAACTCGTCACCCTGTTGTAGGTGCCGCTCACACTCACAGCAGCTGAAGCACTCGACGTGGTATACGGTCCCCAGCACCCGCATGATTAACTGGGATGGACCAACGGCCTCAGTACACCCACTGCATTTAGTGACGAAAAGCCTGCAAGACAAAGTGAGGAGAAATGTGGGTCAGAGATGGCAGCCTGGGCCAGAGGGGGAGAGATAGGGTGGGGAGAAATGAAGAAGCTGGAAGGACCAAGACCAAGTTATCATCGCAGGACAGCAATTGTTAACAATTAACAAGATGCCAAAACAATTGAAATGTAGTTCAGACACAATAAATGGTGACACTCACTCCACTAATTGTAAATTCTATTCTGGTTCATTTAAAGTTGCCAGTTACTGAGTCACGTTTTATTCGGTGAAATTAAAATTCTGTACCGCAGCAAGCTCCAGTTTCTGAAAAAAGACCCTTTTCTGATATTTTCTGAATCAGTTTAAAACTCAGTAACAACATCTGTGTTGCCATGAGAACGCAGTGGAGCAAGTCCTGGGTCTTGCGAGTTCAGTTGGTTTGATTTAATTTCCCTGAATCACAAGTTAAACATTTCTTTTGTGTGATCCTTTATTGGTTGGTTTTGGAAAGGAATAAGTAATATTTGTACAATATTTTATCACCTTTAGGATGGCCCAAAGTCCCAGAGTCATTACTGAGGCCAATTTGTGCTTAGGAAAGTCAGGCAAACAAGGCTGGACCTTGCTGAAAGGGAAATATGTTGCTGAAAATGCATTCATTAGGACACACAAGAATGCCAAATTTCAGCCAATCACAGCAATTTATACTACAGTAAATAAAGGTGCTGACTGGTTGCCAAGTCTACTCTGATTGGCTGAGGCATCACCATGGAGAAAGCAACAGGAAACGATAGGCTCCCAGAGCTCCTTGGGTAATTACAAAAAACAATGCAAGGTTATTGAACAATTTTTTTTGCAGAGAATGGGTCCCCAGTGAATATAAATGAGCCACATTACCAGCTAATTATCTTAAATTGGTTGATAGCGTATTTATGAGCACAATTGGGATTATTCAGCAAATGCTGCCCACAATCCCAGCATCACATGTAATGGGAGGTGTTCTGTTTTGGGATTTTGCAGGTTCATTATACGTATAGCACTCCGAACAGTATCAATGGCATAGTGGTAATGTCACTAGCTAAGTAATATAAAAGGCCAGGTTAATGCTTTGGGGACGTAGGTTTCTATCTTACTTTGGCAAGTGGTGAAATTTGAGTTCAGTTCATAAACCCGGAATGAAAAGCCAATTTCAGTAATAACTACTACCAGTTGTCATAAAAATCCCATTTGTTTTACGAAGTCCCTTAGGGATAGAAATATCCCATCCTTACACAGTCTGGCCTACGTATGACTCCAGACCCACAGTTGACTCTCAGTTGCCTTCTGAAATTGACTAGTAAGGCCCTCAGTGCAAGGGCAATTAAGGATGGGTAACAAATACCAGCCTCGCTGGTAATGCCCACATCCCATTACGTAATAATAAAAGACTCACAAGCTCTTGGATTTTGGATGTGATCCACTTTCTGATGATGTATGAAAAGGGAAACTGTGGAAGGAGATCAGCAGGCTGCTCTACGGAATTTTAATGTGAGCCTTCAAAGACTTACAAGTACACAGAACAGAAACAGGCCATTCAGACCAACTGGATCAGGCCTATTCCACTTGGAGTGTTTAGTTACACTGTTAAATGAGGCAATTAGACTCTCTCTCTCTATCATTGATGCTTTAGGCCTCCCCAAAAATGTGTCATTGCTATCTGCTAAAGACAATCCATCAGTTTATTTTAGATTCAACCACAAATAAGAGCAATTCCACCAGATTCCAATAAACCCTGACCTTGATCCACTCTACAAAGGGTGTGACATTTTACAGACATCAATCCACTCTACAAACGGTGTGACGTTATACAGGCCTCAATCCAC